GCCCTGGATGACCTCAAACTACTGCCAATCCATTCCTTGTCTTGGTCTCCCAAGTGCTGGGATTACAGGCCTGTGTATGTTTCTTTAACTAATTTTCCATAACAATCTACAAGCTTGATAGACTGAAACATTTTTTCTCAAAGGCAATACAGACATACATATAATTAAAATAAATACATTTATTATTAATGAAGACCTTGTAATCACCTAATAAATTTATGTATTTTTGTGTGGGCTTGGTGGGCTTTTGTTGTTCATTTTGAGACAGGGAATCAATCACTTTATAGCCCTGGCTGTTCTAAAACTCACTATGTAGACCAGATTATCTTCAAATTCAGAGATCTGCCTGTCTCTCTAACTCCTGAGTACTGGGTTTAAAGTTGTGTGCCACCAAACATAACTGAACCACAATACAAACTCAAATATGTATCTACTATTTTGTGTGTAATGGAGTCTGACTATGTATTCCAGCCTAGCCTAAAACTTGCTCAGGAGTCTTAGACTTGTGATCCACCTGCCTCAACTTTCCAAGTGCAAGGATTACAGATGTGAACCAATATCCTTGGTTTCAGAATTCATTTTCTTTCCTCCTTTTGCACAGACAAACAAAACAAAACAACACAAAATCAGCGATCTGAAGGCCCTGGAGAGTGGTCCAAACAGCCCCATCCCTTCGTGCCCAACTCGTTTCAGCCAGAGCTAATGGAGGTAGCGAAAACTCCCATGCGTGCAGTCTTACTGATTGGTAACTATGGAAGATGTTTTCCTTAGCAGTGCTGGAGATTAAGCTTGTGCAAGCTAGGCAAGTGCTCTACCACTGAACCACATCCTCAGGCCCAACCATGATGAGATGAGAGAGGAAAGGAGACATCTCTAAGAGGGTCACAGAAAGAGTGCCGCAAAGTCCACGAAAGGACTGGCCAAATCTCCAGTAAACACTTGCCCTCTCTGTGGACCAGACTCTATGCAGTAAAACCAAAGCTTAAGAAAAGCAGAGTGGCTTCACCTGCTGCCAACTGGAAGACAAAATTTGGAGCCTGAACTCAGCAGAGTTAAGCGTCTGGGAAGTTTAATATTCCTCATAATGACATAAAAGAATCAAGGTCCTCTAAAATGCATCATTCATACTGCCTAAAATAGACACAGAGGAAAAGGAAAATGTGACCCACACTTAAGAAAAACATCAGCAATACTAGGACGGTCCATTAGTTGAAACTGAAATATAAAGCCTTTGGGGGTGTGGGCATGGTACACATGCCCTAATTCCAGTTATTCCAGTTTCTTGTGAGGTTGAAGCAGGAAGAGAAAGAGTTGAAAGTCAGGCTACACTATACAGTAAAGTCCTATCTAAAAGAAAAAAAAGAGATTTTGGAAAGGGTAAAAATATGCTAAAAATGAAAGGACAAACTTAGCAAACAAACAGAAGCAAGAAAAGTGGAAAAATCCAGTTCTTACGTTTTATTTTTTTTTTTTCAGTTCTTACGTTTTAAAAAGACACAAATTTCAGTCAAGCACTGAGATAGTATTTGGTCATGAAAAGGAGGACGTAGGAGACTGGGCAGTGGTGGTGCATGCCTTTAATCCCAGCACTCAGGAGGCAGATTTTTGTGAGTTCAAGGCCAGCCTGGTCTACAAGAGCTAGTGCCAGGACAGGCTCCAAAGCTATAGAGAAACCCTGTCTTGAAAAACAAACAAAAAAAGGAAAGAAAGAAAGAAAAGAAAGAAAGAAAGAAAGAAAGAAAAAAGAAAAAAAGGGTGTAGGAACTAAAGAGAAAGTTTGGTGAAGAGTGCTTGTTCCTCTTCCAGAGGACCAGAGTGAGGTCAGGTCAGTTCTCAGCCCCACATTAGGTAACTTACAACCATCATAATTCTAGCTCCAAGGGACCCAACACCCCCTTCTGACGTATACAAACACCTGTACACACACATATAAAAAACTGTTTAAAAAGCATGAGTGCATGGTTGAACTTTGAAAACATTATTCCAAGGGAAAGAAGCCAGTCACAAAGGACCACATATTATGTATGACTCATTTGTATAAATGCCTAGGATAGGCAAATCCACAGAAATAGAAAGTAGATTACTGTTACCAACAACTAGAGGGCAAAGAGAATGAGGTGCAATTGCAGAAGGAAATAGCTTCTTCTTAGGAATGATGAAAATATTCTAGAATTAAGAGAGTAGTAGAAGACACAAAGCCTTGTGAAAAAAACTGAAAGGATACTTAATTGTACATTTTAAAGAAGTGACTGTTATGATCTATAAATTATATCTCAATATTAAAATTTCAATAATAACCTAATTCTAGAAAGAACAAAATATTTGAACAAACTTCACCAAAGAAGATACATAGCAAGCAAAGATGTCTTAATGACTAATTAGGTTAATAGTCTTTTAACTATACAATAAAACTTAAGACTATACCAATGTTGGATAGAATATGAAAAAAACTGTAACTATCATATGCTGCTAAAGGGAATGTAAAGTAACAACTTTGGGAAATAGTTTGACAACTTCGCAAAACGTTAATTTACCTCACAACTAAAAGTTACCAAAGGAAAATGAAAAACGTCCATACCATGACATGAATGTGAATGCTTAGAAGAGCTTTATTATTTATTTATTTATTTATTTATTTTTATTTTCGGCTTTTCAAGACAGGGTTTCTCTGTGTAGCCCTGACTGTCCTGGAACTCTGTAGACCAGGCTGGCTTTGAACTCGCAAAGAACTGCCTGCCTCTGCCTTCTCAATGCTAGGATTAAAGGTGTGTGCCACCATTGCCCAGTTAGAAAAGCTTTTAATTGCTTCAGATTGGAAACAACCCAAATGCCCATCAATAAGACGGACCAATTGGAACATAGTCATTGAGGAGACGGGCAGTTGCTAAGAGGAGCACTGGAATAGTTAGTGATGCGTACAACAGCGTGGAGGAACCGAAAAACAGTGTTAAGTGAAAGCAGCCAGATAAAAGGATGACGGAAGAGCCAGGCATGGTGGCGCAGGCCTTTATCCTCAACACTTAGGAGCAAGAGGCAGGTGGATCTTTTAGTTGGAGACCAGCCTGTTTTACAGAATGAGTTCCAGGACATCGGTCTCAAAAAAAAAAAAAAAAAAAAAAAAGAACATGTAAGTTTTCCCTGCATAAAACTTTTTAAGTCAGCGTGGTTACAGGAAATGTGGGAAATGTTGGGGGGGGGGGCACTGCAAGGACATGAGGAAACTGGGAATATTGAATATACTTGATGTGTAACAATGGTTTCGGGAGCACATACATGCCAAAACTTAGCAAATTATGCACTTTAAGTGTATGTATTTACTGTATACCAATTATACCTTAATAAAACTATTTGGAAAAACATATCCAAGTTTCAGTGGATGTTTAACAGCTTTGCTATCTATATTAGAAAAGATTTATAAATCAGTGGCTTGTGATTCTACTTTAAGCAGCTCTCTACTGAGAAGCAAAGGACTAGAACAGGGAAGAAAAAAAGCTCAAGTTAGTACAAGACCCCTTTCTAAGCAAAGACCTCAAAAGTCATACACTATACCTCCATAAAAGAAAGCGACTGTGGTTCCAACCATTCTTTGGAGCTCTTGCGCTTAGGAAGTGTGCCCGTTACCAGATCATCTTGGTTCCCATTTTTCATTGTGGTCACCAAGTAACAGGGTCCCTAGAAAAGCTAAAACAGCGTTTATTTTGTAATTAAAATTCACAGTAGTTTTCTTTTTTATTTAATAATCAACACTCATGACCTTGGGCATCCGTGGAATGAATCTTCGAAAACGGACCATCCTTGTTTCCCTTCCGGTTGCCATGAAACAGGGGACTTTTGGAGACCTCATGGCTACGGGTCATCCGACCAGCCTCTAGGAATCTCATCCCCAGCAGTTCCCTAAATCTGATAAAACTACTGGGGCACAAATGAGCTCTTGGAGAAGAAAGGGAATTTTGGACGAAATTCGGGTCTTCAAGCTCCAAGAGGCTCCAAGCCCTCCCCAGGGTCTGCATGTGTGGGGAAAGGGGACTTCGGAGGCTGTCCCCACGGTGGATCCAGGCACCAGGCTCGCTCACCAGGAGACCGCTCCGCCCGCTGACGCAGACCGTGTGCGCGAGGCCGCCAGGCCGTGCAGGCCTCGGACCAGGCCCTTCGGCCCCCTCTGGCGGCAGGCAGAGCTTTCGGCTCTCCCGCAGCACAGTGCGCCCGCGGCCCCAGCCCGAGACCGTGGCTTCAGAACGCGCGAAAGTTAGGGCCTCGGTCTCCTGGACGCGGCCCCACGCGCCCCACGGCCACGAGAGGCGACAAGAGCGCCCGCGCCCACCTCGTCGGGTAGCACCGGGGACCGCGGCCCGCAAACCTGAGCGGAGGCCGGCCTCGCACTAACAGGCAGCTGCCACAGCCAATCCGCTTTCGTCTGTGCCCTTAGGTTCCGCCCATGCCCCTAGGCTCCGCTCATGCCCGGCCCTGGCGGAGCTTTGACTTCCCAGTAGCGCTGGTACCCGGTGTTTAGCTCCCATTCCCCAGGACTTCGGATTCGGTTAGGCTGCTCGCTCGCCCTCAGTCGCCTCTCCGAAAGGAGCGGCAGGAGAGGGGCGATAGCCATGCTAGGTCCCTGGTGAACGAGCGTTTGTGGCGGTTGACTCTGGTGGCAGTCCACGGGCAGGAAATGTAGCCCTAAAGGACATCCAAGGTGGTGGTAGAGCTCGGGGTCTGTTGACCCAGTGTCTGTCTCCAGCGTTGATGCTGGTCAAGGAGGAATGAAAGGAGGATCTTATTTAACTCGGTTGTTCTCCTTATTCACTGGCTATGACGTTCTTTGGGTAGCTGGTTGCTTCTTTTTGTTTTTACTTTATTTGATTTTTATTTATTTACTTGTTCATTTCTGCGGGTCTGAGCATTGAACCGAGGACTTTACATTTCCCTCTCTACCATGGAGAGACAGGGTCTCTCTGGCCTTGAACTTGTAGCCTCCCTGCCGCTAGGGTACCTGTGATGATAGGCATGGATTTGTGTCTTTAAACCCCAGGTAATTCTCATGTAAATTATTTCATAGCTAAAAATGTTGAGGCTCTGATTTTTTTCTTCTAATTCCGCTTAATAAGCCATTCTATGAACTCTGGTTTTCCATGGTGTTTTGTTGTTTAATTCTGAGTATTGGTGAACACTGGATGGCAGACCACCAATGTCACTCTTCCAACGTTTTAAAGGTCACCCACTGATACTAAAATTGAAGCATCTGAGGCACTTACATGCTCATACTTGGAGGCTTCAACTGCAGTTCCTGGTTCAGAGCTGAGGAAGCATGAGTCATTTACAAAACTTACTGTTAGACACCTTGCTGGGGACAAAGCATGTGGACAGTGCCGCCCTCATCAAACTCCAAGAAAGGAGCCTGTGTATGACATCACCAGGATTTAATGTAAGAGGAAAAAACTTTATAAAAAAATAGCTTTCTAGGTTAGCATCCAAAGTATTGTTTTTTTTAACATGTCATCTTCAGATATGTGCTGTGAGTGGACAATGTAAAGAATATGAACATGTTTCAACAATATCAGAATTTATTGAGTAATGATAAAGGAACAGTCGTTTCCATGGCATCCACTTGATATGCCTGCTTTCCTTGGCAACCATGACCGAGATGAACACAGGCTGTTTAATTCCCATCTGAATTATTAATATCAACTCTTGGATCACACAATAATATGTGTGTGTACGTATACATGCAACCATATATATGTATGTATGGTTCCAAATGGCAATAAAGATCACTGCAGAGTTCAAGGGTTCTCATAAGTCCTGAAAAGAAGGGAAGTTAGTAGAAATATCATAGATATTTGACAATAGATACCGATAAATTAACAGAACCAGAGCCCCGAGAAAGAATCTGGAGAAACTTTGGTGAGTGGTTAGGCTCCTTCAGATCCCAAGTTTGAGAGTAAAGCTGCAGAGCTGAGACAGCTCCAGGGCAGAAGGGCAGGGCTGGGTCCAGACAGATCGGCAGACAGATGGACAGATGGGGCAGGTCCAGGTCAGTCGGCACCAATGCCACCTCCGTGCAAACTGTTTACTTCTCTGTGGAGTCCGGGGAAGGGAGTTACACCCTTGCCTTGGTCTGTTGTATATGATATTTTTTGGGCTTGGTCTTTCTGATATGGTTTTAATATGCCCATATGCCTCCACTTTCTCAGTTGGCGCAATCTTTCTCCCCTGGGAATAAGTCGCTTTTCAGTCTGTGTTGTGTAGGTGGTACTGGACGGAAGTGCTATTCCTGTGTCCATCCAGGTGTGGAGTCGTCCTCCATCTTCAAATGGAGTCTCTTCGAACAAGAAACACTGAAAAACTGCTGTTTTACAAAGCATGGAGTAACAGGGCAAGGCCCAGCCTGATCCCACATGGTCATTATACCTTGTTTCCGTTCATTCCTGCCCGCAGTGCCCTTCTCTGTACCTTCTTCCGCTTCAGCTTGATTCCTTCTGTTTTCTTCTCGTGTCCTATTTCCCACCTTCTTTAAGAGATCTAACTTCCCTCTTATGAGCCCCACAATTTTTTTCACCTACAGACGCACACATCAGCAAATATATTCATACACATAATTGTAAAGATTTGTTTTTATTTTTATGTGTATGTTTATGTACCGTGTGTATGCAATGCCTACAGACCAGGCTGGTCTTGAACTCACAGAGATCCGCCTGTCTCTGCCTCCCAAGTGCTGGGATTAAAGGCGTGCGCCACCATCGCCCAGCCATTAAATCCACATTCTATATGTAAAAGAAAATGTGCTAATTGTCTCTCTGGGTGTGGTTTATTAACCCTTAACACAATGACTCCAACTGCAACTATTTTCCTGCAAATGTCATTATTTCATTTTTCTTTTTTTCTCCCTCTGAAATAGAGTCTCATTCATTGTGTAGGCCAGGCTGGCCTCAAACTACAGAGATCTGCTTGCCTCTGCCTCCCAAGTGCTAGGATTAAAGGCGTGTGTCACCATGTCCAGCAATGTCAATTTCTTTATGGCTGCATAAAATTACATTGTGTACGTATACCACTTTTTTTTGTTTACTCTTATATTGGGCAGCATCTAGATAAGTTCTGTGTCTTGGCTATCGTGACTACTACTCCAGTGAACATGTACATGTGCCTATCTCATCCTGACATGTTGAGTCAAAGTCCTTTAATGGCTATCCTCTAATGCAAATTTATGAACAGTGGAACTTGAGGTTCATGTAATGGTGACAGCTCACGAGTGCCTTTCTTTTGTCCAGTCATTTTTAAAAAGTGAAAACCATTCCCAGCCTTCAGGTCATTTTAAAAGGTAGTCAACCAAATTTACCTGGCCAGTGGCCATGCTTCTTACCTGTCCTGTTTAACCTCTGCAGGTAATGCCAAGTGATGTTCGAACACTTGTGAATGGATTTGCCAAAAACCCACTGATAACCCGAAGGGAAGGCTTGTACTTCAAGGAAAAGGATTACAAATGTGTCCGGGCAGATGACTATTCTCTTTATGCTAAGAATGTAAGTATTCAAGATTCGAAGACAGATGGGTAAAAATCTTAAGAATTTTACTTTGGTTTTTTTTATCCCTCCTCATGCTCTCTGCAAAACATTACTAGTAGCCTTGAGTTGTTGAAATAGCACTCTAGTGCCAGGAAGTGTGTGTGTGTGTGTATGAAGCTGTGAAGTGTGAAGATACTCATAGAGGCTGGGGATGGACATGAAGAGCAGAGACCTTGCCTGGAGCGTGCAAAGCTCCGGGCTTGGTCTCCAGCACTGAAGTGAATTAAAGAAGAAGAAAAGCACTTCTGTCCAAAAGTATTCTTAGCCAGATATCCCGGCTGTTAAAATATTCCCTCTGGACTCTGTCAGCTGAGCTACCTCTCCTGATACCGTTCATCCTCCAGTGCTATGACTTGCTTGTCTTGGGTCCTGAAACCCAGTGTGGGGACAGCGAGGGAACGAAGAAAGGGCAGAGACACGGATACAGACAGTAAAGCTGGGATCAGGTGGGGTGTTTACATGCTTTCCAAAGTTCATATACCTGTTAGGCACAAGAATGTTAAATCAGACACAGAGGTAGGCAAGGAAAGGTTATTACTGGGCTATAGCCCAGAATACATAGTTAAAGGCTCTGGACTTGCAACGTTCCAACCTCCCCACAGTCAATATACTTTCCAGGAATTCTTCTTCACAATACATGCAATATTAGTACAAAAACCTGAAACTTTTCAGAAAATACTACTAAATTTCTCAAAATAATGGAAGATTAAAATACAAGTACAAAAATACAAAGAAGTCAGGAAAAAGGTTTTTTGTTTTGTTTTGAATGTGTCTGTGGCTCAGAACAAAGCCAGAGCGTTCTATGTCCTTCCTCACCCAGGAGAACACTGGTGTGGTGGTTGTGAAGACCCATCTGTATCTTCTGGTGGCCACTTACACTGCAGGCATGTATCCTAGCGTCTGTGTGGAGGCCACAGAGAAGCTGGGTAAGTTTGCCTCCCACTGAGGCTTGAGACCCTACTCAGACTAGCCAGGGGAGAAAGGAGGAATTTATTGGAGAATCCGAGGATGACACACTCACACACACAGAAAGTGTTGAACACCGGGGAGCCGTGGGAAAGGCAAGTACCCTGGATAGGAACACTGCTCGACAGCTGGCAGTCTGTCTTGTCTCTGCTTCTTCGTGAGTCAGCTTTGCCCTGTCCCATTGCAAGGCAACTGCTTCCTTCCCTGGCTTGGTAGCACCCTGATTTGTGTCATGGTTTACCCCTACCCCCACCCCCACGTCAGTAAGCTGTGCAAGAGAGATGCGCAGGGGAGCAGAGAGGAAGCAGGTTAAAAAGGAATGTTAGGGGCCCACTCTGGAGAGGTGGAGCCATCTTGGTGTGTAGTGTAGTCTCCTTCTTTGGTTTACAATTGGGGAAAATAAAAATTAAGATTTACTAGACAACTAAAGCGAGGTTTGAGCATAGCAAATGGTAAATGGCCTCTCGTGACTCTGTAGATGCCGTCCTACCTGCCAGAAATGCATCCTGTCCTGCCCACGCCCCTCACATCTGGTTGGTACACTCCTCATCGTCACTGAGGGTCTGGGCAGATTGGGATGCCTCTTCCACTGTGCTGTGTATTTTATGCACACCACTGCTGTTATTCCCATTGGAGCTCTTTGTTGATGTGGACTACAAACCCATTACAGCAATGCCATCTTGATCCCCCCCCATCTGAGATCTAGCACAGTACATGATTTTGAGTAGGAAATTACTGTATGTTTGATAAATGGAGATGCGAATGACTTCTACCTAACAAACCCAGGGCAGTGCCAGTGAACTAATCTCAAATGAATGGGTGAGAAGTTAAGTCCTAGAAAAGGAGGCCCAGTTTCAGCAGAGTAGGAGCAGAAACCAGACAGAGACCTATAATTTGAGCTAATATATCTCATTAAAATATCTATAATGAAAGTAGGAAGGCAGGCCGCTAGGTTTTCAATAAACCAGGCTTTATTCTATTGGCTCAGAACCAAGCTAATTCCATAGGGAAGGTCAGAAAGTTCCCTGGCTTCATTGTAATGAAGATTCTCTGACGACTTATTTATTTATTTATTTATTTATTCATTCATTCATTCATTCATTCACTCACTCAAGGCTACAAAAGACTCCAAAAAATAATGCAGCTGGCACAGCGCCAGTTAGAACCCACTGTTATAAGAAGGGACCAGCGATGTTAGAAGTGTTTGGATAGCCTAAGGGGTGGGTCAGGCTGCTACCATCAGCTGACTTGACTGTGCTTCCTTCATTACTATGGCTCTCTCTCCCTCCCCTCCTCCAGCCTTCTCTCTCTCTGATATAGGGTTGCACTGTGTACCTCAGACTGGGATCAAACTTGCAATCTTCCTGCTTTAGCCCACTAAATTCTGGGATTACAGGCATGTGCTAGTATGCCTCCAATTGTGCTTTTCTCTATTAAAAAATATGTGATTATTGCAGAAGATTTGAGAAATAAAGAATCAAGGTGATTAATTTTTTTTTTAACCTCTGGATGTAGACCATTCACCTGTATTTAATCCGCAGCACATAGGAGGAGTGGGCAGATCTCTGTGAGTTCACGGCTAGAATAATCTGTATAGCTAGTTTCAAGCCAGCCAGAGCTATATGGTGAAACCCTGTTTCAATTGTTTTTTAAATATGGAAGATTCCAACAGCATGACGTAATAGCAACTTTAAGGAGTCAATAGGCAGATAACCCTGTATTACTCCACACAATCAGTCAGGTTTATTTTTAAACAACTATATTGGCAAATTGTGTGTGTCAGTAAAATGTTAGCATCACTAATTCTAAATTATCAGTTTTTAAAAGTTAATATAAAATTATTAAAGAACTATAATTATTCCTTAAACTTCCTGTGACTTAACCTCAAGTGGAAAACCAAATGTCCTAGCTTCTTCACATGAGACTTGCTTCTCTCTTAACTAAACCCACATGGATGTAAGAATCTAGGCTCTGTGTTTTGTCATCTACATGGAAAGAAGTGATGGTTCATGGTTTGGGTATTTTGTTTATTCTCATTAGAATATCATCTAAGACCAGTCCTATAAAACAGAAGAATATAAAAAAATTCGTTTTTCTGAATTTGCCTGGCAGTAATTCTTATAATAAGTTAAGTTTTTAAAGGCCTTGCTTTTTTTATTTGTTTTCGGTTTTTTGGTGTTGTTTGTTTTGTTTTTTTTTGTTTTTTTGTTTTTTTTGTTTTTGAGACAATGTCTTGCTATGTAGTACTGACTGGCCTAGAACTCAACATGCATATTAAACTGGCCATGAACTTGCTGCTTCTAAGACCCAAGTAGTGGGATTGCAAGAGCGTGCCACCATATCTGACTAAAAGTCAATTGCCAGTACAATCCTGGTCTCCCCCTATCTCTATCTGTCATGGCTGCAGTAGAGCCATGGTTCTCAACCTTTGGGGGCTCAAGCAACCTTCCACAGGTTAAGAAAACAAGTATAATTTTTGCTGAGTGAAAAACAGTATTTTGTTTTTTTAATGAAGGAGCAGGCAGCAGGCTCTACTGTTCCCTGAGCCCTCCCCCACCCATCTTCCCTTGACAGTTGTGTGTGCCATCATTCTCTCCAGAGCAGCTCCAATGCCCTGTCACTATGGAGTAGAACCGAGGATTGCATACATCTGACTCCCCTGCTAGGCACAGACCTCCACAAGAACAAGGCCTGTGTTTTATCCATCCTGTCTGTCATCCTTGTAACTCCAGTACGTGGCATGGTACCAGCACGTGGTAGTCAGCCAACGCTGCTTATTGAGAAATGAATGAATTACATTGTAATGTCAGTTCACACTCACAAATTATCAATGTGCTGGGTTTCTTTCAGGAGACTATCTAAGAAAGAAAGGAAACTAAACCGTTGGACAACTAGTGAAGACAACTTTATTATTTTGAAAGAAAGTACAGACCCTTAAGAAAAAGTATTTTGTGCTTAAAAACACTGAGTGGAAGACAAAAACAAAGACTGAGTTAAGGAACATTTTTCTTATTTCAAGTGTTCATCATCTCTCACCGGAAGGACCTGACCAGCTCGTTCCTTTTCTTTAAGCATTGCTCACTGACTTGAAACCCGAGTGCATTAACGATTTTTCATAGGACAAGTCTGCTGGGAGTCTCGCCTCCAAGTCCCCACACAACCTGCCAGATATTCCAAGAATACAGGCCCTAGTCTCCCCGTGTGTGGGCCTCACGCACATCGAAGTCAGAGGAGAGCTGTGGAGTCAGTTCTCCTCGTCCACCATGTGAGTAGTGGGACAGGGACCTGGGTCGTGAGGGCTGCTGGCAAGTGAACCCACTGAGCCCTCTCACCAGTGTCCCTGACCACTCTGTACCCAGACCGAGTCAGTGTCAAACCACCTTAAAAATTAAAGTATTGCTTAGAAAATCCTCTCATTTTCAAGTGTTATCTCACAACCTTTCCAAGAGCTTCCTGCCAATGCCAGCAGGTTAGGTCTGAGGTTAGGTCCTAAGAGTCACCCATTTGTTCTTCGTTGTCAACTTTCCCACTGAAACCATTCATCCGTGTGCTTGGTTTGTGAAAGAGATAAGTTCAAAATTCATCTCTTTCCTGTTGAGCAGCCTACCAAGTGCTAAGTAGCAATGGCCCAGAGGTAAACGCCTGGTCCTCTCGACCACCGATGGCTTCCCAGTTTATCAGGATCACGTAATGAACCAGCATGTGTCCAGGTATGAAACCATGCCAGAGCACAGAGCTTGGTGCAACTAACTGTCCCATGAAGCTGCTTCAGGGCTTTACAAGAATCTGAAACTGGCATTAGAAGCGAGTTTGAGAGAGGAAGCATAGAAGAGGGCAAAGAGCATGCCAGGATAGAGGACAGCATAAGAGAGCCCCAGAGTCAGGGAGCCTCCTGGCATGTCAGGAATGGTGAAAAGTTGGAGAAGTGGAAAACAGTGTGTGTGGATATTCCACAAGAGAAAAGGATGCCTCCCAAAAGGGCATCAGCAACTGTGGACGATGCTTTTATAATAAATAAATATAATAAGTTTATGCTGGGGATGGAGCTCAGGGATGAAGCACCTAGCATGCCAGAAGACTGGAGGGCCAGCCTCAGTGCTCCTGAAATTTTAAAAAAATACATGTAAATACCCTAAACTTAGTCTTCATCTATTAAAAATACAAAAGCAGACATATTAAGAACCTGGGAAAAATAAGACACTCATAGTTTTTCACTAAATGAAAACTACTGACTTCATTTTTATCCAGTATTTTTCAATGTACATGTTTATTTAGCATCAGGTTGTTTCTTGAGTGTCACTAAGATTCCTTCAAAAAACACTATCAAATCACTGCATATCATTTAATTTAAATATATATTCTGTGTTAGAAGCTTTAGTTTTTTTGTTTTTTTTAAACATTTATTTATTTTATTTATTTATTTATTATGTATACAATATTCTGTCTGTATGTCTGAAGGCCAGAAGAGGGCACCAGACCTCATTACAGATGGTTGTGAGCCACCATGTGGTTGCTGGGAATTGAACTCAGAACCTTGGGAAGAGCAGGCAATGCTCTTAACCACTGAGCCATCTCTCCAGCCCCTAGAAGCTTTAGTTATTTCCACTTTTTGTTTGTTTTTGTTTTTGCAGACAGAGTTTCCGCTGGGTAGCTTTGCAGCCTGTACTGGAACTTGCTCCGTAGACCAGACCAGGCTGGCCTCGAACATAGAGATCCACCTGCCTCTGCCTCCTGAGTGCTGGGATTAAAGGCGTGCGCCACCACCATCTGGCTAGTTATTTCTACTTTTTTTTTTTTTTTTGGTTTTTCGAGACAGGGTTTCTCTGTGGTTTTGGAGCCTGTCCTGGAACTAGCTCTTGTAGACCAGGCTGGTCTTGAACTCACAGAGATCCACCTGCCTCTGCCTCCCGAGTGCTGGGATTAAAGGCGTGCGCCACCACCGCCCGACTTCTACTTTTTTTTTTACATCACTAATAATACTCAAAAATAAATTTATAGCTTCCTATTTGACTATATACATAGATCTTCCCACAGGTTTGTGATTGTCTTCAGTGATTTCTCCTTGTAATTTAACACACTGACATCTGGAGTGTCTAAGTCAGGATAACTGTGCACCTACCCCTAGGCTGATAAACTGCAGTGACATGCAAGGATGAAACATCCGGGTGGTTCGCCAACAGCCAATGGACAGCCTTTCCTGGCTACTTGACCACTGCACTGCTTGGGACAGACTCTCCGGTTTCTTCCTATAATTCTCATGACAAAGTTGCAACTGTGCCCAGCTGTATAGAGAACCAAAGAAGTGACTCTTTGGCAGTAATTGCACAGTATGGGTAGAAACACCTAGAGAGCACGTAATCTTCCCAAACGAGTCTCCAAACTAAGGATGTTCTTATCATGGTAGGCACAAAATCTTTGGGAGGCCCACAGTGGCATGGATAGATTAAAGGGTTCCCTACCCCAGATTCTTTTCTTTGTGTCAGGGGAAGAAGGTTGAGACAGGGTTTCTCCATATAGCCCTGGATGTCCTGGAACTCCCTCTGTAGATGAGGCTGGCCTGGAACTCAGAGAGTCACCTGCCTCTGCCCCCCAAATTCTGGGATTAGAGGTGTGTGCCACCACATCCGGCTGCGCCCCAGGTTCTTAACTCCTATGTGTACTTTCCTAATACTATGCTGCTGAGATTGAGGGCTCGTATCAAATCGCTTTTCTTTCCTCTCCCATCCCACCTCCCGTCTCCAGGATATAATCTTGACCATCCCAAGCCCTACTAAGCTACACTGTGCTAAAGGAAAGGGAAACACTAGATACAGTTAGATCCAATAGCCCCTCATCCTGTGTGATGAAAACACCACCAGCTGTGCACTGGAGTCCCGTGAGAGGAAAGCAGAAAAGCACCAATGAGGTGTAGACTGGAGATGATGGCTCAGCAGCTTAGAGCACTGGATGCTCTTCAGACGACCTGAGTTCAATTCCAAGCACACACAGGGCAGCTCACAACCACCCAGAACTCCAGTTCCAGGGGATCACTTGAACTCACACAGACAAGTTAAAATACATTTTTTTTAAAATAAAAGAAAATCTTTGTAACATAATTCATTGAGGAAAAGAGGGCTTCACACTTTTCCCATCAATTATTTCTTAAATTTCAGAGACAAAATGATTGTCTCAAGATGTGTGAAATGATTACTTGATATGAAAAATGAGAAATTCTTTTCTTATAGAAGGGGTTTTTATTTTATTAACAATGAGGAACATTTTTGCCAATAAGAGTAGTACAAATGTTTCTCACAAGTGAATTAAGTATACAGCATCTAGGTGTTAACTTAAAATATGTTTAAAGCATATTAAGTAAATAAATTTTAGCAAAAACTTTTATCGTAGACAAAATGTGTTAAAAAAAACAACATTATTAGTATTGGGATCCCTCCTGAGTATATAAGTTTAAACAGAGTGTTTCTAAGTGACAATAAAGGAGATACAATTGACAATCACTTGGTAAGTCTTCAAAAGTGTTGTCTAATTCTAAAACCCGAGAGCCTGAATGACGCATCTAACTGGGGAACAAATCGTCTATTGAGTGGGTGGTCTCCAAATCTTTGCCACCAGCAAAACTGGAGCAAGGCTTAATTAAATTGTCAGCGAATAGAGCAGTGAAGACCATTTCCTTTTTAAAGTAACTTCTTTTAAAATTTATTTTTATTTTATGTGCATTGGTGTTTTGTCTAAGTGAGGGTGACAGATCTTGGAGTTACAGTCCTGAGAACTGGTACCTAAGAAGAGAGCCAAAACAGATAATCTACAGAGGACAGGAATGAAGGAGGAAGGAGACTCCTGGTTCCTGAGATTTGCCTCATCAGCCTTAAGGGGTAGTACCATGGAGAGAGTTCACGTAGTACCTGGGAGCCAGGGACAGTCCCGCAGACAGGAGAGCTAATGTTACTGGTTGGTGACTTTCTCTTAACGTTTCTTGAGAAAGTCTCAAGTCTTTTGCTGTTCCAGATAGTGAGTCACCTGAACTCGATTGTGCAAGGAGAGAAGTTGCTGCCTCAGGGTGATTCAGCAGAACTGTGCAGGACCTTTGGAGTTGCTGGAACCCTCCTAGAAACAGGAAAATTAATCCTTCCAGCTCACTTTTCTATCAAATGAGCAGCCGTGGCTGTGGCCGCAGATCAGGGTTTCTGGACCTCAAGAGATATTCCAACATATTCTGACAGATGAGCTCTGGGCAAAAGATGGAGGTAAGAGGATTTTAGAATACAGACCTTTACTTAATTAGCAACTGGGAAATAACTAGGTAACCCTAAATTTTGGATCATCCCAACAAGGGTAGAGTTCCACACACTACCTACTGATCTAGCCAGGAGTCAGTGAACCTTGAAATAGGACAATCTACGTAACACAAAGGGTGCCACAGGGCCACCCACTGCTTTGTGATGGTCTTTTCTGTTTGAAGACAAACTACTTTAGCCAGTTCCTTCTCTCCACTTTTGGTCCTTTTCTTTTTCCACAGGAGGTATTCAGGAGGAGTTGATGAGATGACCACTCCTATGGACTCGAGTGGCCTTGATGAGGTATTGACCCTCTCCCAGATCCCCATCCCCCACACATCAAATAGAGCTTTTAGTCACCTGGCACATCTGGGTGCTGTGGCTCAGGCTTGCAAATCCTGCACCATGGGGTTTGCCCAAGGCACAGTGAGCATAGTCCTATCAGGCACTGTAACCTGTCCCCTCCTTCAAGTACTTTCCCCAGTTTTGAAGACTGCCTCTGTCCATCTTCTCTCCCCCAAAGATTTGTACTGCCTTCCTACCAACCACTGCAGCCATCCCAGAGCTACATACAAGATGGCCACTCCTTCCTCCAAACATACTTTATCTTCCCAGAAGAGAGATCCTTCCATGCTCCTTCCCA